TCACAGTTTCGTCTGACTAGGCAACCCACCTTCACTTTTATTTACGAGACCGTTAGGAGAAAATTAAATGAGGCAATGGAAGAACATGTGTCCATTTGGATGGTGATCAGTCTTTGGTTTACATAGCACACATGGTCCTCACATTTTCTTGCTTCTCTAAGCCTTTCAATTCAGTAAGGATGATAAGACCACAGACGTTCTGCCAGCGGCGGTTCTGGATACCTTGGGTGGAGCTAGCTACCTTCTCCCCAGAAGTTCTCCCTTGCTCTGTACAGACCCGCGGACCCCTTAAGAGACTGGTTCTTGCCTCATCATTATCATCAACAAACATTTCTCAGGGAGCGAATAGCTCTGTAGTAAGTACAAACATCAATCAAGAGGAGCACAAGGATGAAAAGGTCTTTGATCGCTGAGATTCCTGAAAAAGCCACTTGATTGAGGCAGACATAGTTCACAGGATGATAAAGAGAGATGCGAGTGACCTCGTCAGGTTCTTTGCACAAAAAGCAGGTTTTGTCCTTAAATGGTTTGATAAATAAGGATCTACGTATAGGACCCGGAATCACCTCTTTCGTTTTGGGATAATTTCGTGTCATCATAAGGATCAAAGTGGAAGCGTGGCGACCAATCTATGGATTATTATTATTATTATTATTATTTTTACAAATTGCTGCTGCTATTACAAAGGGCCTGGAGCTGTGAGATGGGGAGACAAGAAGGCAGAGAAGAGGTAAGTGATGCTGAGAAACTCATTTTGTTTCTCAGAATTAATTTATCTTTCAGACAACCCAAACTTCTTTGCAACCATGAGTGTTTAACTCATGAGTGTTAAACTCCTTGAAACACACACATACACACACACATACCCAAAAACATGGGGTCAGCTCTAAACCTAGGGGATGAGCTTTTATTTGGAAAGAATGCCCATGTTCATGTCCAGCCATCCCTTCTCACTTCCTGAAGGCTAGTATTCCCACCTCCTGCCATCATCAGTTACATGTCTGTGACACACAGCACTGTGCAAGGAACCTTTGTCTCTCACCTTAGGAGAATGGTTTCTTTGAATCTCTTTTTCAGTCTTAAGGAAGAAATGGCCCTCGGATTCCTTAACAAAGAGGAAGTTCTTGTGCTAGGAAGCAGAGTTAAGAAGCATGAGTGGACATGGGATATGGTCTGGCCATTTTACATTTTTCTAAGAAGTCTTAACCTCAAGGGCCTCTGGTGGACTAGAAGGTCACAAATGCTCAAGGTAGAACATAACAGATCTCAACAGCATTCTGGAATTGTGACTTGGCCATTAACTGCCTAGGAGACTTTATTGGCAAGGGAGCCTGAAAAAAAGGCAGTAGCTATAGCGGTCTGTGATTAAGTTAGTGCTCGGAGAAGTGAAAACACGGCTAACTCCATTTCGGAGGGAGTTAATTTGCCTTTAGAGTAAACTGGTTTTCCTCATCAGAAGTGCAAATATAGACACTGCCACACAATCAAACAAGAAAAACACCAACAACAGTAACAATGGTATTCACAATAATGATAAGTCTACAGATCCAAAGCCACCAAGGTTTTTTTGTCCCAAAAGATGGGAAAAGGTTGTGTGTAGGTAGGTGTGTGTACAGAAAGAGACAGCAGTCAATGAAAGCCAGACACACACACACACACACACACACACACACATACAGGGAAAAAGGGAAAGAGATCTAAGCCCCACCATATAAAAAATGCCACTGAAAATTGCTGCAGGGGCCACAGTACCATAGGCGGCTGGGTCCTTCTCCACAGAGGATGTGACTCCATATCTTAGATTTTCTGAAAGAGTTTTGATTTAATGAGATTTCTTTGTTTTCAATCAAGGTGAGTCACTCCATGGATAACTAAATGCCACTTATTTTTTATGCTCTGCAGGAATTTTCATCTAAACACAACTCATAGATAAAAAAGAACCCCATGTCAGGCTATCTGTCACCATTTTTGGTTCTGAAGGTCTGGTGGCCGCAGGGATGTCAGCACGGTCTGAAGCAGCCCCCAGGCACTGTAGTTTCTGACATAACCATCCCAGACCCGAGAATGTCCAGAATGAGGGAAATGCTGAAAACAATCTTTGGACAGGGATTTGCCTCCATGGTTACCATCATGACGAGGTGATGTCAGAAAAGGTAGATGGGTTTTGCCACTATCTTTTTTTTTTTTTAAAGGATTTTTAAAAAGTAATCTCTACATCCAATGTGGGGCTCTAACTCACACCCCCAAGATCAAGAATCTCTTGCTCTACTGACTGAGCCAGCCAGGCGGACCTCTGCTATTCACTTCCTGCTTCTCCCAACTCCCCTTCTTCCTGCCTAGATGATGGGGTTACTATTTCAGGGGTAACTAAGACCTTGGAGACGAAATCAATGGTTAGCTGCTGTATTCATAATCAGGGCTCAGTTCCTCTCAGAGGATCAGTCACATGGAAGAGGCAATTCCTAGAGGTGACTCTCCGTTCTCCTGAGGGAATGGAAATGCTCCCTCTCTTGCCCACAGCCTTGGGGCGAGAGGATGCTGACTTCTGATCTGAGAGCTGGCAGCGGGCAGCTATCACGATTCACCCAATAGGGCTGGATAGTCACAACCCCAAAGGCTTCTCCATAAGGCTACTCAGAGTCTTGTACCTGGAGTCAGTACGTAACTTCCTACTTTTCCCTCTCAAATCCCCAGGGAGCACTGGCACTGGGCAAAGGCCTTCTGCCAGTCCGGAAGCAGGAGAACTAGGGGTTGAGGTGAAGTTGGATGGAATTCTTTTTGGCTCCCGAGTGCCACATACCAGTCTAAGGGTTAGTCATAGAAGTGAGGGAGACAATTTCATTTCAGCACCAAATCAACAGGGTTTGTGTGACTTTAAAAAAAAAACACAACTGGTCAGCAAAGTAACGGTAATAGTAATGGACATCAGTGTATGGTGAGAAAGGTCAGGCAGAAATTTCAAAAAGCATGGCCTATTTACTTGTCGTAAAACAAACAGATCTTTGGGGCTCTCATTAGGCAACTTGGGTGGAGTCTAGTTCTCTCTGGAGGTAATTAGGTTTTAACTTTTTCTTTTTTCTTTGCAAGGGTCAGGGGATCTTGCGAGAATGCTGGAGCAGCTCTGCACCTGTGCTATCCAGCTGGGAGCCATGGGCCACATGTGGCTGTTGACACAGGGCTGGAGATGTAGCTAGCCCAAAATGAGGCATTCTGGGAGCTTAAACACACTATGGGTTTAGAGGATTTCATACAAAAAAGAATGTACAAGATTTCATTTATGCTTTTTACACATTGAAACAAAAAGATTACATATATTATTAAAATTATTTTGAAGCATTCCTCTTTACTTTGTAAAATGTAGCCAGTAGAAAATGTAAAATTTACATGAGTGATTTGCATTATATTTCTATTGGATAGTGCTAGGCTGGACACTCATTATAGAGGAATGCGCATCTGTAAATACACATGAAGTTTGCATATGCTTCTAGAGGGTTCCCAGCTCAAAATTTACTCTTTGGGGGAGGGGGGGTGGTGGTGAAGAAGGCTATGGGAGAAGTTTTTCATTTCTTTTAAACTCTTCTATGCTGGTTAAACTTTTTTTTTTTTTTTTTAAACCACCAAAGCCACAGGAAAATCCTCTGAAAACAAACCTTTGGTAAATGGAGAGCCTCCTAGGCTCAGGGATTTTGCAGCAGAACCTCCTTGGGGTAAAAGCCCACCCAGATGCCCCTCACCCTGCTCTGGGCCCCTCCTCATCTATTCAGCATCCTATGGGGGGGCCACAGTTGTGGTGTACAAAGGCAACCGATTCCTGATTTATCTGGTCACCAGCTGGAACAGACAACACTCATCATATGGAGAAGTATGCAGTGCAAAGGGCATTTTCTCCCCTGGGTATGGAATACAATTTTATTTCTTTTGCTGTTGGATTATCCTTCTAATTCCACTTGACATAAGTTAATACCCAAGTGTGCTTCAGGTAGAGCTGACTCAAGGGTACACAGTGTAATGCTATGCTGACCAAGAACAAGAAACACTCTGAGACAAAGAATCCCAGACCGAGGACTAGAATTTGAAGGTATCCGGACATTACAGACTCTGTGACTAACAGCTGTTTTAAAACCTGGCGAAACAAAACCACTCCTACTTGGACTTCAACCTTGAATCATCTCGCTATTCATTCTCAGCACCAAAGCCATTCGTGTACGTTATGTGTGAAGAAACTGCCTCCCCAAGGTATGAAGTCAGCTATATGTCATCGCCATCTGCCAAAAAAGGGACATCCCACCCCCAATCCCCCCATCTCGGGGCAAAAAGCTCATTAGCAGTCTCAAGGCCAGAAGGAGCCTTGGCCATCATCTCGTGGAACTCCTTCATTTCACAGAGGGAGAAGGTGAGGCTCAGCAAACATGTGACTCAGCCCGGACTCCGGACTTCGGTTCAGTGCTGTGTTCACTCCTCCCTGCCTGCCTTCGCACACTGACACTGGGTTTCATTATAAGAAGTGTGAGACTCCCAGAGAGCTGTGACATTTCTGAAGGTGGTCATCATTTTCCTTGCCTTGCTGCCTACTTAGAAAGCATCGAATAGGGAATCATTAAAGATGGGAGCGAGGGCGGGGGGGTGGGGAGAGCGACCAGTAGTCTGCCATCCACTCCTGTGACATCCACTCTACGTTTCAGCAGGCAGCGGAGATTTACGACACAGCCCAGCTCTGGTTTTTGGATGAGTATTAGTGTAATGAGGTGGAAAAGCCTTGTTAAAGATGTAAATAACTCAGTGAGAAAAGCCTTCCTTCTTAGTAACCCACGCAGCCGCCTTCGCCTTCTGACAGAGGGTGAGGTGATCCGTGATTGTCCAGGGAAACCATTCACTGCCTTAGTCATCTCTGCATGATAGTCTAAATGAATTACAAAATTCCCCACTGAAAAAATAGCACATCTCTGTCATAGTTACAAAAAAAAAGAAAAAGAAAAGAAAGAAAGAAAGAAAAAAGAATAAAAACGTAAGTAGTTTTAAAAATGCCGGTGGGTTTCAGTATCCATTGGATGCCTCTTTTCCTGTCCCTCTTTGTCTCTCTCCGTTAGGAGAGACTTGGTTAGCAAATTCCCCATGCTGTACTTTTTAGACCAAATGGTTTATCAGATCACACATCCCTCCTCACTTGAGATTTAGATGTACTTGGGGAGCCCAGGAAGCAAGCTGCCAAGGATTCCCATGAACCCTTCCTTGAGGTCTGGTGAGTTTTAACACAAATGTGTTGGGATTAAGGGAAAACCCAGGTGTTCCCACACCTGGGAGAACCCAGTGTGTTTGACACTGGGTTCCCAGAGGACTGGGTCTCTTCTGAAGCCTCCATCACCTACAGAAGCCACTTGTGGAAGGAACAAAAGACTGTTTCATTCAGACTTGTGGACACCACTATAACAGACATTTTGCTTTTGGGAAGAATATGCGGTGACTGGTCTTAAAAACGGGCTTGCGGTCCCAGCTACAAGCCCTACAGTCATGAAGAACAGCGCTACAGCCCAGGAGGGGACTTCTGAGTTTGGAATTTCAGTCAAACACTGTAAGATCCAGGCAAAAATGAAGCTTCCTTCTCACATCACGGGGGCCATTAACAGAGCCTGGCAAGTGGGAGCGAGCGTGATGTGAATGCAAATAATGAGTGGTAGTCTCAGTGGATTCAGAGCTTAGTGTTGGGGTCTCTGGAAGCTAGGATCTTTAAGATCCACTTGAAAGAACTTAGATTCTTAACAAAGCTGGCCTTAGACTGTTTCGGGGTGCCGAGGCACGTCCCAAAGCCAAGCACACTTCATGCCGAGAGGTCAAGGCCATTCATCTCAGAGACAGCGTACAAACCGGTCACAGCAGGAACTGCTGCTTCGAAACAGAACTCTGTACAAAAGCTGGAGTCAACCGAAGGGGTGGACATCATGTAAACTGCACACAGTCTTTAGAAAGAAACTAACAAAGAAATCAAACAACATTCCCCAAACAACAAAACAAGACCTGGAAGAAAAGGAAATAAAACTAAGAAGCCCTAAGCGTGTCCTTTCGGTCTGTTTTAGGAGCTCCTGAAGTGTGTCTACAAGGACATGGGAGGGAAAATCAGCTTTCGACTTCCCAGCTGCCAAGGCCATGGACTGTTGTACAGATGGAGAGACGACTTCCTGATTAACGTGACTTTGGATATTGCTTTCATTACCATTCTTGAGCGGAGCGCCATGGAGTTATCAAGTGGTTCTGGAGGTGTGTGTAGCCGGGTCCAATTCTTGAGGTCCTCCTCCCTCCCTTTCCCTTGGTCCTACCACCCCTTTGTTCTGTAGTCACCATTTCAAGACTTAACCTCTTCGCAGTCTTGGTCAGTGGAAAGTTCTACATCAGACAGTCCAACTTCCATTGCCATAATCAGCGAGATGTCAGAATCACTGCTTACAGCTGGTTCCTGCTCGCCTGGGAGGAGAAAGCAAAGTTCATGGTCAACACTGAACTATGTCTTTGGAGGCTGGCTATTTTATACGATTGTCTTTAGGAACATTTCTTTGATGGCCGAGAGACAGTATTAGAAAAATTGGCTATTTAGTAAAAACAGAAACAAAACCCAAAACCAAAACACAAAAACCAGAAACTAGTTAGAGCCTCATCTCACACGATAGCCCCAAATAAGCTCCAAATAAGTTAAATGTAAAGAAGAAACTAATATAGCTATATGTCTACATAGAAAAATATCTAATTTATCAAAGTAGGGCAAGAAACTCTATGTGGAAAAGCAGTTGAGCAATTCACAGAAGAACAGATTGATAAATGTGCATAAAATTCAAAAAATATTAAAAACATGAAAAATAAGGGGCGCCTGGGTGGCTCAGTGGGTTAGGCCTCTACCTTCGGCTCAGGTCATGATCCCAGGGTCCTGGGATTGAGCCCTGCATTGGGCTCACTGCTTAGCAGGGAGCCTGATTCCCCCTTTCTCTCTCTGCCTGCCACTCTCCCTGCTTGTGATCTCTGTCTGTCAAATAAATAAATAAAGTCTTAAAAAAATACATGAAAAATAAGATCAAAAGGCATACATCAAACTTGAAATACTTGCGAACATTTCCCAAAGGGCTGCATTTTCAACATGTAGCTTTGAAATCAGTAAGAAAAACTAACCAGAAAAGCGGGCCCAGGTCGCTATGATAGAGCAATACGATATAAATGACCAATAACTATAAGGTAAAAATGAACTACTTTTTTTTTTTTAAATAAAATCTGCACTCTTATTAAAGAAACATAGCATTACACTGAGGCAGGTACTTTGATACACTCCATGTAGCACTGTGACATTCTCACTCAGTAATTTCATTTCCAGAATGTATCATAAGTATCCACGCAAAAATATTCACTCAAGCACAATTTATAGCAGCAAAACATCTCAAGTGACAAAGTCTAACAATGTAGAATACCTAAGGAACGTGTGTTGCTTCTAGAGCACCATCTTCTTGTAATAACTAAAGTGATACTTCCAAAGAACTTGAAGTTACATAAGAAAATGCTCACAAGGATTCTTTTAAGTGAGAACAGAAGTATCAAAGCTTTGTATGCAGTGAGGCTGACAAAGTTAACCAGAAGCCAGGAAGCCAGACAGAAGAGTTGTCTCAAGATTGGGGATTTATAGTCATTTTCTTAAAAAAAATTTTTTTTTCAGTTTTACTTCCAAACATTCTGCAGGGAATAAATATCATTCATTCCCTCAGACGCAGTGAGTACCCACTATGTACCAAGGATCGGGCTCGATGCGAGGGATGTCAGTAAGAGCAAGATGATTCCTGTCTTCAGGGAGCTTACTGTCCAGTAGGCAGGCCCTTCAGGAGACAGTCAGTCCCAACTCAGTGGGATATGCATGATGCTGGAAGATGCAGGAGCAGGGGTTACAGGAGTAGGGAAGAGGGCTATGTGACCCACTGCTGACTCAGAAAGCTTCCCATTGGGGACAATGTCTACAATGAGTCCTGAAGAAGAACTCATATTCTAGCCAGAAGATTGAGAAGGAAGCATCCCTTAAGCAGTAGCAATAGTATGTATAGATAGCTATGTCTGAGCACGATTGGGAGCCTTGTACAGATGGGCATCTTTAATACATCATATAATAATATGTCATATAATACATCATATAATAACAGGTCATATTTAAATACGCCTGGAGCGCAAGGTCAAGCTAGGGACTCTGAAGGGAGGCTTTAAAAAAAGGTAGCTTTAGAACCAAAGAGCTTGCATGTTCCATTATCCTGTTGAAGAAACTGGAAGACCGGCAAAATGTCTAAGCACAGAAGAAGCTGGTGGTTGTAATACTTTTGCTGTGATAATCACTGATATGATTTATTTCATGTTGACGTACAGTTAAGGAGAATATATGAGTTTTATGAAAGACGTGAGTTCTTTTTTTTAATTTAAATTCAGTTTACTTAACATATAGTATATTATTAGTTTCAGAAACAATTTAGATTAATCAGTTGCATATGATGCCCTGTGCTCATCCCATCACATGCCCTCCTTAATGCCCATCACCCAGTTACCCATCTCCCCTCCTCCCCTCCAGCAACCCCCAGCTTGTATCCTATAGTTAAGAATCTCTTATGGTTTATCCCCTTCTCTGTTTTCATCTTTTTATTTCCCTTCCCATCCTCTACGTTCATCTGTTTTGTTTCTTAAATTTGACATCAGAGTGAAATCGTATGATGTTTGTCTTTCTCTGACTGACTTATTTTGCTTAGCATAATATCCTCTAGTTTGATCCATATCGTTGCAAATGGCAAGATTTCATTCTTTATGATGGCTAAGTAGTATTCCCGTGTGTGTGTGTGTGTGTGTGTGTGTATTACATCTTCTTTATCCATTCATCTGTTGATAGACATCTGGGCTCTTTTCATAGTTCGGCTATTGTGGACATTGCTGGCTATAAACATTGGGGTGCAGGTGCCCCTTTGAATCCTGTTTGTCTTCTTTAGATACTCAGTAGTGCGATTGCTGGGTCGTAAGGTAGCCTATTTTTAACTTTTCGAGGACCCTCCATGCTGTTTTCCAGAGTGGCTACCCCAGCTTGCATTCCCACCAACAGTGTAAGAGGGTTCCCCTTTCTCCGCATCCTCACCAGCATCCGTCATTTCCTGACTTGTTAATTTTAGCCATTCTGACTGGTGTGAGGTGGTATCTCATTGTGGTTTTGATTTGTATTTCCCTGATGCTGAGTGATGTGGAGCATTTTTTCATGGGAAAAGACAATGAATTCTTAAGATATTTAAAAGGAGACAAACAGAAATAACAAAAAGTTATGACCTTAAGAATCAGCTTGAGAGAAATGGGCTGTTTCACAGGAATATATCCAACCTAACAACTGAGCTCTAATAGGTTTCCTAGGCCCATAAATGCATGCAGCTCATAGTAATGTAGACAGACCCCTGGCTAGAATAAGACTTTGGAAGCAGCTCTCGGCAGATAGAAGTATTTCGTATTTGAAAACGGGGGCACTCAACAAATATTAAATGAAACTAGTCATTTAGAAAAAAGGCAGAATTGGATCCCTGCCCCACACTTCACAACAAAATACATTCTAGGCTAACGAAACCTGTATCTGTACCTGTACCTATAGCCCGTTTTTAATTGTGCACATGCACTTCCTTCCCATTTATCCTCTTCTCCAGAGCCACCTGGTACTTTCAATCCCTGACTTTTGGGGAATTCTTTTTGCAAATTGGGATAGTTCTCCCTTCCTTTACGGCTGCTTTGCATTTGTTTTCTCCGCAGGGCTCTGGCTTGCTGCTGTGCAGGCTCTGCTCAGCACCACTCTAGGGAAAGCCTTCACTTTGGAGTCTGAGTGAGCAGTGTCCACTAGATTGGGACAGTGCACAACCTGCACAGCTGGACACAGGAGCTTGCTCTGTTTCTCAGATCCACTAAGTCCTTGGCCCTTCATCCGTTTTTTCCCCAGTTGCCCATATCTTGTTATTGTCTCTTTTTACCTTTTCCCATCCATGTTGGTTTACAAAATCCCTTTGCTATAGTTTATATGGGGTTTTAGGAGAGGCTGGAAGTAATTTCATATGTTCAATCTACTTGTTTTGCTCAGCACTCTCCTAAAGCATCATTTTTGCAAGGAGAAATAGAATTCTATGCACAAGAACTGGGAACCTGTTTTACTTCATGAGACTATTCTAGCCTCAGGTATAGTAACTCTACATGTTACTTTGTCTAAGTCACTCTGTCCTCTGGGGCTAAAGTTCAGTTGTCTATAAAATGAGTTTGGACTGGATCTTCAGTCCCTTCCAGTGGTTACAGTTTGTACCTGTACAGGTTGATGTCACCCTAGCACAGTCTTTCCTACCTGTTGCTTTCTCAATGAATATTTACAAGAATTCCCACCAAGGAACAAAGTTATAAGCCTCTCTTTCAGCACAGCCCTCCAAATTATTGTTTTTGTAATTTAAAATATTTTTTTCTTAATCAAAAAAGGTCTGTTGTATATTTAATACAAGCATATACTAAACGGGAGAATTCACTATTTGAGGTGTAGTGAATTAAATTATTCTTATTCTTGGAGATAAAAAATGAGGGTTAAATTATGGAGATATAATCTCTCTTTTTCTCCCTCTTTTTTTTTCCTCCAGTGGTCCATGAACAAATTCAGCTCATGAGCAGCCAAAATTTTCAGCTCGCAATTACACTGTAAGTCAACCAAGAAGCTCATCATGGAGTGGTTCCATGACTTTCATAAATATCTAGTTTAAAAAAAAAACAACAAAAAACAAAGGCAGCCCAGATGAAGGGCTGGGTTAGTCAGAGTTCTATAAAGATCGGTCCATGTAACCTGCAGTGGCAGCTTCTCACCCTAACTTCTGGCTTTTCAAGCCACCAGCCTCTGCAGATTTCAAGGATTCATTCCCACTGTGGGGTTTTCTAAACTGGAACTTGGGAATCGAAAGAAAGGCCATGGGGACGGATGGAACTACGGCTGCTGAATTCATGATGCTGTTTCGGAAACTGACCGTCCTGCACAGCTCCAGGCAAAGAGGAATTCGAATCAGTGAAATCAGATACTTGCCAAAAAGCGGCTCAGTTGTGGTGCCTGGGTGGCTCAGTGGGTTAAGCCTCTGCCTTCGGCTCAGGTCATGATCTCAGGGTCCTGGGATCGAGCCCTGCATCGAGCCCCGCATCGGGCTCTCTGTTCAGTGGTAAGCCTGCTTCCTCCTCTCTCTGCCTGCCTCTCTGCCTACTTATGATCTCTCTCTCTGTCAAATAGATAAATAAAAAATCTTTAAAAAAAAAAAGCGGCTCAATTTTTACAATGTAGCATCGCATCAAGCATATCAGCTAATCATTTTCCATGTCAAAACTTAAAAAAAAATGATTTGAACACATTCGAAATTATTTTTTTACTCCATCTTGTGTTTTTAATTGAACTTAGTTTGTGCCATAATTTT